ATAAAATCAACACAAAAATAACTATTGTAGGACACTGTAAACACTCCTATATATTGAAAGAAATTTCTTCTACCTGAACTTACTATATACATGAGGCTATTACATGTAAACCAGGTTTTTCCATACTAAAAGAAATTACTAGATGCCTAGAACCCTTGCTTCACTAGGGTCTGTGAACACCTGAATGTTCTGAGCTGTGACAGCAGATGAGTGCTTCACCCCATCCGAAATTCAAGTTTGAGGTCTACAGCCGTTCTCTGAGGTTCTCATAATTCAAAGCATGCCAAGTCAAGGCTGATATATTTCGAAGATGAGGACTTGAGGAATGAGGTCACGATGCAATGTTAGACCAGCACCAGGAAGAGCGAGCATGCACCACGACTGAGGACGCAGCACGGCCATCGTTAAAAGTCAGCATCCAGAGTGAAAGTGTTGTCCACGGTCTTGGACATGACCCCCATCTTCTGGTACTCTCCCACGCGCTTCTCGAAGAAGTTGGTCTTCCCCTCTAGAGAGATGTTCTCCATGAAGTCGAACGGGTTCTCCACTTTGAACAGCTGCAACACAGGGCCGACAGGTCGCTCAAGAGAAAATTCAACACGCTTTAGGATCCCCCCCAAAAAAACACTCATGACAAATGGGGAAGCATTTTTTGGCGGTTTTCACTAGAACTGCCCCCCCCGAATGCTGGGGTTCCTCCATCGCGACGAAGCGAGCTCTCACCTTGCTGAAGCCCAGCTCCAGCAGCAGTCGGTCTGCCACGAACTCGATGTAGCGCTTCATCAGCGCGCAGTTCATGCCGATGAGGTTGACGGGCAGCGCCTGCGTCAGGAACTCCTGCTCGATGGCCACGGCGTCCGCGACCACCTGCTTCACGCGCGCCTCCGAGGGCTTGTGCACCAGGTGGCGGAACATCAGGCAGGCGAAGTCACAGTGCAGCCCCTGGGAAGCACACACACACACACGGACCGCGTGAGCCATGGGCAGGGCGCCAGCAAACCTTCAGGAAGCGGAGCTCTCAGATCTGTGGTGGACGCTGTGCGCACCAAGAAGGAGCGCTTGAAACCAGTAGCCAAGCCCCCGGGAGATAACTGGACTTGGATAAGTACAAGTGGGACTTGGAACAGGTAGTTCTGTATTCAGGCTGCAGCAGCCCATCAGTCCAGGCCTTAACTGGTGTGCACGGACTGCTCAATCCAGAGGGACGCCCTGGATGGACCAGTCCACCAGTCCACCACAGGACTGACCAGCATGGCTGGGGCAGCTCTCTCCAGGTACAGCAGCAGGGGCTCGAGCGTCTTGAAACTAGCCGCCCTGTTGGCACCCCAGGGGGAGGACTGGCCCCTCGCACCCCTCCGGCCCAGAACGAGCCTGCGACCCAGGAGAGCGCCCAGCGCCCGTGTCTGGAGCCCGCCAGGCCGGCGCCCCCTCACCTCGTCGCGGCTGATGAGCTCGTTGGAGAAGGTCAGCCCGGGCATGAGCCCCCGCTTCTTCAGCCAGAAGATGGAGGC